GGGGGAGGAGAAGGGAAGGGGGAGGCGGAGGAGAAGAAGAATTCATTAATCTAAAGCCATGCTTTTCTTAACTTTAAGTATCCTGAATTCAGACCAAATTGATTCATTTATATAAAACTTGAACCCATTAGCAACTATTTGTATTAAGAGATACTTAGATGTTTCATAAAACTATTTTAGGACTTTTTCTTTTTAAATCCTTATGAAGCCTTAACACAGAAAGCATGTACTTGCTTTGTCTCTCCTCCCCCAGCCAGCTGAGTGAACCCTAACTCAAAGGCCATAATACAGGTAAAGAATCTCTAGGTTTCAATTCAAGGTATTACAAGAGAACCAAGGACAGGTCAGGTGGTGGTTCACAACTGTAGATGCCCTGGATCCAAGTCATGGTAAATTTAGCAAACCAACACAATATTCCTTGTTTCTGTCAGCCTGCTGACTTTCAGCTTTCAGTAGCCTAGTCCTGTCACGAGGTAAAATTAGAGGCATCTAATCTACTATAGCTCACATATAAATGAGGCCTCAAGTAAAGTAAGAATATATCCTGTTCCTAAAGGAAAACATATAACTCAGAAAAGATCCTGGTGGGTGTATCTTTTGCATGTTTATTTAATTATATAATTATTTTCTAAAATGCCTTGAGGTGAAATCTTCAGATGCAGCTGAGGCTTTGGTTTTGATTTTGAGGAATTAAGAGGAAATAGCAGAAGCACTCTTACCTTATTTCATAACCCACACACCGTCTTGGGCCCGTGCAGCCGTTTCCAGGTCTTGACGGTGTGTGTGGATGCTTGGACACATGGGTGTGCAAGTCCCACCACCGTCAGTTTCTGTTCTTCGCAAACATTTGGCCTTAAAAAAAAAAAAAGAATAGTAATGCAATAAAAATAGATGGCTTTATGTTTTATTCATGAATCATTTGTTCCTTCATTTTCCACAAAAAGCTTGTGGTGACTTACATAGAGAAGGAGAGAAAAACACAGGCAATGAAAAAAAAAAATCAGGCCCAGGAGAAAAAAAAATCAGAAAAGATTTTTAAAAACAAGGGAAAATTTAGAAAGACAAATATAAAAGTCATAAGTTCCCATGTGCTTGAGCAAATCGAGGTGCAAATGATGTTCTGAGCTCTTTGGTAGCCAAAATATAAAAAGACACACAATTGCAAGATTCTCAATATCCATAAGAAAAAGCAGGCTGATTCATCAAAAGAAGTTAAAGTTTTCCTGGAAAATGTTTCTGAACAATATTTTCCATTAGCATGTTTAGTTAGCTCAGCTTCACACATAATGCTTGTTTAAACACAAATATTTTTCAACCAGCACCATTCTATCAGTGCTTCCTTATAGGAAATTTATACAAATTTAGAAGATTTTAGACATATTAAGCTTTAATTTTAAATGCATTGGGCTAGATAGCACCTATCACCTAGGGCGTCAGAATTAAATTCTATTGTAATTCGAAGAATGCTTTCCTTAGGGAGGAATGATTTACTAGTCCATACCAATTGTCTCGTGTTAGAAAACAATACTAATTATAATTAAACTTTTCATGCATTCAAAGTCACCTGCATGCCGTACACTGACCTTCCTAAGGTCAGACTTTGATGTTCTTTTGTGCCATCAGGCAACTCCCAGTCTAGCTTAGTCTCCAAAGGCACAATCTGCTGAAAACAGAAATGAGTTCCTGATTCAGGATTCTAGTCTGTCCCTAAGCAACTCTGAACTTGTCCAGTGATGACACGGACAAAAGCGTCTGACAGTGCTTCCCGCACTAAAACCCGTTACCTCACCCTCCGCAGCCGCCGTCCCTTTCTGTGATCACTTCTTTCTGTGGTGCTAAATCTCACCATGTGATTTCACTTATAGTCCAATTCTCACTTTCAGATATATTTCTGAAAGGTGAATTTTTGGACTGTTAACTTCACCTAAACTGAATAAAATTCGTGTTGAACGTTATTTATGAGTTTGCACAGCACACTAATGCTTTAGGTAAATACTGTAATAAAACAATAAAGGTATAAAGTTCACATAAGTCAGGCATCCATCAAATCATCAAGAATTGGGCAGGGAGCCTAAAGAAACCCTAGCTTTTAAATGCCATATTAGACTGTAAACTGCCTATACTTAAACTGTTATGTAGGCTTATCTGCTTTTTGAGAGCCAACTAATTCCAATTAGAACGAGCTCACCACACATTTGCTTTTTCGGTCAATAGTTTGAAAGCTTACACCTCATGCATCCTTGAACTCTATTTTGTAACCTACTTTTTATCTATTATTCCATTTATCCATTCATCCAGTCATTTATCCATTCAACAAATACTTACTGTCACCCGCACATACCAGAAGCTTCCCCTCACACTGAGGTTTGAGTATAAGTAGTTAACTTGGAAAGCGCAGAAAACACTAGTAAGGAAGTGGTGAAATGAGACAGAGAAAGAGAGTCAGCCAATAAAAACATGCATGAGTAAGCCAGCTAACAATTCTAGTGACGAGCTCCCTAAATGAGTGAGGGAGCCGGGGCATTTATACACGAATTCTTGTCAGTGATTGGTCGAGGGCTACATCTTCTCCAGCATTTCAGGCAGAAGCACAGGTAGGCAGAGTGAGCGTCCAGAAGCCAAAGTTTAAGTTTTCAGGCACAGAAATGCAAATGCTGGCAGCTGGAAATCTGACAGGTGTGCAGTGATGAAGGAGAGGGACATGGGTGCTGCACTGACGGTTTCAGCAGCAGAGCGTACCAAGGAAAGGAAGTCCACGGTCACTTGGCACTATAACTGAATCATTTTGCTGTACACTTGAAACTAACACTGTAAATCAACTACACTTCAATAAAAAAAATTTCTTTAATTTAAATAAATAAAAGGAAAGTAAGTAAAAGCACCTAAATAAATACAAATTGTGAAGTGCTAAGATGGAAGCAATCAGGGGCTGAAACAGAGATAAAGGAAGCTTACTAAGATTCACTAATTAGAAAAGCCTCACTGGGAAAGCTGACACTGTGACCTGAAAAGGTGAAAAGAAAGAAGTCAGCCACAGGAGAGCCAGGGGATGCCATTCAGGTGGAAAGAAATAGAATGAGCAGAGACTCTGAAAGGAGAAGATGGTTGGCCTCCAAAGATCTGAAAGAAGGCCAATTTGGCCCAAGTGATGAGAGCGTGGTAGGACAAATAGGGTTTTTCAGCCTGAGGAGTTTTGATGTTATTCTCAGGACACTGGAAACCACAGAGAGTTTATAGAATTTTTATTTCTGGTCTCATTTCCTACAGATGGGACCTGGAGATGGACCTGTGATCCTCTCTGACACCAACTGTAGCTCCCCTCCTTGACAATGACTTAGGCTGTATCTGTTCCTGGGCCCTACAACTAACCACCCAGCCCAATCCAGCAACTGGCCTCCAAATCCCAGGAATCTCTCAAGCCTTTCTTAGGGTTTTCCTAATTCCTACAAAGAAAGAAGCCCCCAGGGGAAAGTTGTACCTTCAGGAGATCCAAAACCAGCAGCACCAGTTAACAAGGAAAGACACAGCACAAATTTTATGCATCATAAGGAAAATGTATTAGATTAAAGTTTCTAGAAAATCACATGTAATCCAGATTGTCACCAAGTAAATTCTCTGATAACATCATAAGAAGTGTTACTGTGACTTCAGAACTTCACATATTATACAACTGAACCATAGTTAACAAGCAACATAGTTTTGGTTGAGATGAGTTTATTTTAGTTAACTCATGTTGGGAATGTTTTGGTAAAGCAGTATCATCCTTGACTCCCAAGCAGATGTGGCTAAATAAAGTCAGTCACCTGGGTATTCTGCAGATGTCCTGAGTGTGTTTCAGTTAAAAAATTAATATTCTTCCTTAACTACAAAAGCCATAATTTCTAGCATTTAAAAGAGCCTGAACAAGGAATAAATATAGGAAGTCAAGTTTGCCCCTAAGATCCTCCCAGATATAATCATTGCTAATGATCTGATATATTAATATCCAATTCTTTCTGGGGACACACAAACATATTTTTTGCATGCATGGGTTCACAGTCTACTGTTTTTTATACTGTGTAAAAGTATTTTCTTAACTTAGCAAACAAAATGGTATGAATATTTTTCCATTTTGAAATTTGTAGAATTACTTTAACCCTTTTGATTTTTTCCCAGAGTATAGGTTTATCAGAATAATACAGCAGAATTCATTTAGCCAGCATCCTACTGATACACGTTTAGTTCTTTCTAAGTTTGTGACTATAAACAACTGATGTCAGTCTCCTTACATAAACAACTGAATTACAGATCAATGTTTTTTCTTATATTTTCTTATGAAATATCTGTTTCCTCCAAGTCTTTTTCAGTTCAAGATTTCTTTTAGTCTCTTCCTTCTATGCTTTAGGCTTTCTCAAGGATCAGATTATCGCTGCCTGTCTGTATTTAAGCACGAGACACGGAAGCTGATTGGGGGTTCTGTATGATAGAGAGGGCTTATAACTGGTGGGTTCATGTTAGGTGATTAGGGGTGAACTTTGTTTTTGAGAAGCTCCTGGATGCCTATGTATGGAAATCTGATTTTTAGGGTCATTCAGTTTTTCCAGAAAAGTAGCCCCAATTTCCTGCCTGTGGAAGCAGACAGCTTGTGGCTGGTGCTTGGGGACCAAACAGTGGAAAGGAGTCCTGCTGTTTTTAGCCCATATTCACCCCTGGGCAGTGCCAGTCTGCACCCTTCTGAAGCTTCTCTGGTCCTCATTCTCCAGAGAAAAGAACCAATCCCATTTCCCATTTTTTCTCTCTCTGTCTCTCTCTCTCTCTCTCTCACCACTCCACCTCCCCAAGTGGGAGTAGGGCACAGCTATTTGTCCAGCTCTGCAGTTTGGAGAAAGGGACCTGGGATTCTACCAACTTTACATATAGCCTTTCAAACAACTCTTAGCCTCCAGCACCACACATCTTCCCTGTGCGTCACTTGCCTCCACTCTAAATGCTTAATGTTGAGCCTCTCCAGGGTTCCCTGTGAAGGGACCAATGACGCACCAGAATGCTATAAAGATTGCATCAAAGTGAAAATATTTGAGCTACAGGTGCAGAAAGAAATCTTTTCTGAACTTCTCCTATCTGACTAAAGTTGAGATTTACCAGAGTCATCTGCCACAAGTGCCCCCCTCCCCAGCACTCTGGGGAAGTCTCCTCTCACAGGGGCAACTGACCTGGGGAAGTGGGACATTTCAAAGGTAATCTGTATAAACAAACCTCATCAGAACCTTGCATCCTTTGAAGTTCTAAACCCCCCTTATTAAACCAGTATATAAACCTTTATCCCTAGCTGTTCAGAGAGCTACTCCCTACAGAGTTTCTCCTATTAATCTTTCTGTTGTCAATTAATTCATGGGCCCCAAAACACTCTAACCTAAGCTGGTATAGAAAAAGATTTTCGTCCCAACAGTTTCAACAACAAGGGCTGGATGGTTGGAAATCCTCACTCACTCTGGAGACGGCAGCTGAGCTCTTGGGATCTCTGACCAAGCTGGCAAAAGTAACCTTTCTTACTCTCAGACTCTCAGATCTCTGCTTGGGGTCCGGTTGAGCAAAAGTGCTTAGAGCCTCTTGTCTTTTCAAAAAGAAATTTTCCAAAATTTAGATTTACAGGAGAAAACTTTCTGGTTAGAAGTAGCCTTGTCCTTTAGGTATTGTGACTCTCACTTTGGATCTTCCAAAGATAGCCACTGTGTTCTGTCTTTTTGTCACTGTCTTTTGTGCTGGTGCTGGTGTTTTG